CCACAGAGTTGACAGAGTTCAAGGGCGCGGCCAAGAGGAGGACAAGAGGAGGACAAGGCCCAGCCACAGAGCCCAGCCACAGAGCTCAGCCACAGAGTTCAGGGGCGCGGCCAGTGAGTGTGGCCAGCTCTTTTCTTTCTAAGATAGAACCCCAACAGTAAACTGTTTGGGGAAAAATGTAATTTACATTTTTTCAAAAGTGTAACTTACATTTCTGGAGGTCCCCCTATATTCCTGGGTGGGATAGAATGTCAATATAATATAATATAATGTCAATATAATATGCTGTCGTGTTTCTGGTTACCTAACAAATAGGGGGGTGGAAGAAAAATGTAAGTTACATTTCCCCCCCCCAACAAAATCGGAAACGGATCAGTGTGGCATGGACATGCATGGACTCTGTATTTCATTGTATTCCCCAGGAATAACCGAGGAATGATTCATTCAAATTAGGGGGGGTCACATCCATATGCTGTCTTGTGTACCTACAGTTTTAAATCTTACTTTCAATCTACCCCCCCCTCCCCCAAACAAATGTAAGTTACATTTTTGGAGGTCACCCTCCAAAATCGATGGTTAAAGGGGTAGGGATGCATCAACGACATGTTGCTGGATAGGCATCTGCAAGATCCTGGAGTTGAGGGACTGCGATCCCCTGATGCTGGCGCTGGGCACAAAGGCCGAGAAGAGATCATAGAGCTTGCGCAGGGCCATGATCAGGTCTGAGGAGTTGAGGAGCCTGTCTCTCAGTGCCAGAGCTCGAGTGCGATCTTCGCGGCGCACGAAGAAAGCTCCTGCCTCGCCAAGCCCCAAGCCAGACGTGTTCACAGCCAGCGAAGCCTCAGCAAGCGCTCCGGCCTCGCCAGCTGTCAAGAGCTTCTGCCAGCTCTGGGGCGCCGCTGTCAGCATCGCATGGGAGATCCTCAAGACTGCCGCTCCGGTGCCAGCCGGGATGTCCGTGACGCGTTGGGTCAAGTGCAAGTGCAACGCCCTGCGAGAGCCGATGAGGCACGAGGCGCTGACGACGGTCTCCAGGGTGGGGACCACTGGGAAGCTGATCGAAATCAAGCCGTTTTGGTGGCAACGGTGGAGCATGGCCCTCCGTGCAGGCACCTCAGCCTCAGGGGCCTTCGCAGCGCGGTCGATGCCCCCGGACCGCCCAGCCACTGTCCTGTTCACCTCTTCGGCGCGGGCCTTCCAGCTGCTCTGAAGCACATCAGCAACCTCCGCTGTGCCCCCGGCGATGGCCGGTGGAGTGCCTGGGCAAGTGCGACTCCGGCAACTGCTTCCAGGTCCCGTCAAGCGCCTTGTTCAGCGCATCATAGAACCTCGGCTCAGCTAGGGCTGGGCGCTCAGCGCGAGAGAACTCGCGGTGGTGGTAGAGGAACGAGGCCAGGTTCCTGTCGTGGGTGTTCGGCTGAGGAGTCACTGAGTGATTGGTGACAGCTTTGTCCACAGCAGTGGCCATTGCAAAACCTGTCATCAAGTGGGTCAGCACTTCGCCGTACTTGGTGGTTCATTTTTGGCTAGGGAACTTGTATCTTGTAAGTGGTTGGTAACTTAGTTACGAAGGGGTTACAAGTTCTGTAACTAGCACAAGTTTCTATGTTAAGATGTGGCACTTGCAAGTTAGTTAGCAAGTTAGAAATTTCTAAGTTCTATATCTAGATTATCAAAAACTAGTCAAAAATAAGTTGTAACTAACTTAGGGAACTTAACTTTTTTGAGATATAAAATTTCAAGTTTTTCTAATTTACACCAAAACTGATCAAATCGTATTTTTTTCGCACTTTGATTCTTAAACTTGAAATCGAGTTCATGCTCCGATCGCATGTTCATCACGCAGCTCACTGAGCCGTATGCCGTCTTGTCATGGTCATGGCTGACTCATGATGGATGTTGCTCCTGTATAAAAAACATGCGGCTCATTGAGCCGCAGGTTGTGTCTCTTGCAAAAAAAATATATACATTGAACTGCGTGCCATCTTGAGCAGATGATGGACGTCGCTCTTGTTTCAATAATAGACCTGCGGCTCATTGAGCCGCAGGTCGGGTCTCACGCACTAAGCCATCTGCCTCTTTCGCCATGCCTCATAGGCATCAACCACCATCTCCGCCGTGTAGGTCTCCGGCCGATTGGACAGCAGGATGGTCCCGTCCGCCAGGATGCAAAACCCGCAAGGTGGCCGCATTGCCTCCAGCTGCTCCGCATACGTCATCCTCCTAGGGTGCAGAGGCTCCATCTTCAGCAGTACCGGCAGCTGAGGACGCGTCGCGTGAGCAGCACACACTTGGAGCCAGCAAACGCCAGCAAACAAAAAGCATTGTTGCACTCAATCAGCAAAGCTCTCAATCAGCAAAACTTAAATCCTGACTCCTGGATTTTTTAAAAAAA